TTTAACTCAACTTCTTTCTCTGTATATATTGTTTTGGTCATTACATTTAGCATTCTCAAATGTTAGCCAGCAGCAATCTCAGACAGTGAATTTCAGAACTTAAATATGTTCAGAAATCTTAAAGTAAAAAAAAAATATATAAATATAATAGCTAATGGCAATGAGTTGTGTCTTATATAAACTAAGGTATGATTCTTAAGAAATGAGCTGCATGTAGGAGAAAATATTTATCTCAGATGACAGAAGAATAGGCTGTATCATGAGAGGAAGTTTTGCTATCTGTTTCCTTCGTGCAGATGGTTTTGGTGAATTTATGCTTGAAAGATTTGAAAGGAAGAATCCATTTAACAAATAGGTATTTAAAATTCAAGTATTGTGCTGAAGGATCCAAAATACAGTGTTCCTTCCCTCAGGAAACTTTTTGAGAAACAGGTACATGATAAATGTCTATGATTCAGTGTACTATAGTCATTCACATTTATTGGACATTTTTATAGAAATCTGGATAGACATCAGACTCACCAAAGAGAGACTGTGTGTGTGTGATGAGAGGCAAAGAGCCAGAACTCTGAAGTGATACTTTCATAATCATAGCTCCACAAGCATTAACTTTCCTAATTTTCCCATTTAAATAATAGCTTCCTCATTGGACCTGATAAGAATAACCTGTGTTAAAACATGTAAAATATTTAGGAAAGTTCTAGGCACATTTTAAATTCTGAATAAATTTTCAAAAATTATTATCAGATCTTATATAATAAAAGACTAATATGCTAAGTGTCTGGTCGTCCAGTCAGCCGTTCAACCAATCAAAGCATAATATGCTAATGATATGATAAGGCCGCTCAACCACTCGCTATGATGTGCACTGACCACCAGGGGGTAGACAGTTGACTGGTTGACCAGTTGCTATAACATGTACTGACCACCAGGGAGAAGACGCTCTGACTAGTAGGTGAGCTTGCTGCTGGGGTCCAGCCGATTTGGACTGAGTGAGATGAGCCGGACACACTCTGGAGCCCTCCCATGGTCCCACCCTGGATGGCCAACCTCCCACGTCCCTTCCCAGCTCTGATTGTGCACCAGTGGGGTCCCTAGGCCTGGCCTGCACCTCTCATAATCTAAGACCCCTCGGGGGATGTCAGAGAGCCAGTTTCGGCCCGATCCCACAGGCCAGGCTGAGGGACCCCACTGGTGCATGAATTCGTGTACCGGGCCTCTAGTATCAACATAATACATATTCCTGGAACTTAGGATTCCGTAAGTCATGTATAAGTACCCATAAATTGGTCCACTAGAGGTGGTATGACTAAATTGACAGTTAAATCAATGTTTAGAAACTTCTGTTTTAGGTCACGCAAATTGTGTCCAGGAATAAAATAAAGTAGGAACTTTGCAATAGTGTTATTAATTACAAGAAAAAAAAATAAAGACATACTAGTATGGATAAATATTTTAGAAGGAAATAAAAAGGAAAGTGAAAAAATTAGTAGGTTTTGCAAATAGAAATATTAATATAAGGTTTTTTGCATATATATATATATATATATATATA